CACACACACACACACACACACACACACACACACACACACACACACACACACACACACACACACACACACACACACGGTTTTCTTCTTGTAGCTTGGCATCCCTTTTTTCAGTGCAGCTTTGGTTACCATGTGGTAATGCTTAGCACAGTACTTACATAGCTCTTTCCCTTAGCCAAGTAATTTATGAACTAATTAATCCTCACAGTATGAAAGGAGAGAAAAAAAGGCATGAAAATAATTTTGGTATAAGGCACATCAAAAACTGTAAGCATATAGAGGGCTGATGGACTTTCTAAGCCTAGGAGCATGGAATGAAAATCATATATTCCTGTTGCCCGATTTTAAATATTTTGGTGGTATGGTATTGTTTTTATTATTTGTCCCCCTCAGCCCATACTGGGAATAATGTAGATTGCCCCAGCTCAGACAATGCAAAGATTTTTCTTGTTTTTTCTGACAACTGTATGGATTCAGGGTAAGTAGAGAAATCACAAGCAACTACAGCAGTAATTGCATCCAGAGCACATAGGACGAACCCATACCCTGTCTGTGAAAGGCAGGCTGAGATGAGGTTCCAAATGGGGGGGAGGAGGGGAGAATTCCTGGAATAAGCGACACTGCTGGATTGGAGAATAAAGTATGCTCAGACCTTGAAAGAATCAAGAATTCCAGCATGTACCATAGATGCTGTACCAGTAGGAGCTCTGTAGGCGTCTGTAGACAGATTTATGTTCAGTAAGAAGCCAGGGAAGGTCTCTGAGAGAGCAAGGCATGACTAAATTCTTTGATTCCTGGGGAGTTTGCTCTAGCCTTTTTGCAAGTTTACAGCAAGGCAAAATTATAAATAGCGTTGCAATAACAGTCTGGCAGTTAAAATGGGAGGGTGGGGCATAGCCACAGACACAAAGGTCTGCAACATTATTTCATATGCTATGGCAGTAAAACAAAATTTTAATCTATGGGCTGTCTGATTCCTAGCTGTGCTGGATGGACCCTGCAGAACAGGATTGCTCCATCACAAATCAGCTGGTGAAAGAGACAATTTGTTTTGTACATAACTCATATTGCACTATTGTGGTTGTATCTAGAGTAGAGTGTTGAGTCCAATATCCTGCAAACCCATAGTGGTAATTTGTCTCATTGTCTAGAGGAATTATAGATGATAACAGTAGCTTCAGCTAAACATGAGAATTAACAGTCAATAATTTAGTTTCATGCCTATTTAACAATAAGAAGTACCTCGGTAGCCTGAAAACAGAGAAATATAAAGTGTCCTATAAAAAGAAGAAGAACCCTGGGGGAGAAGAGCTTGTGAGTTTGATACAGCCTGAGATACATTTCTGCCTTTTTAACACAGCAAATTCCGATCAATCAGCACACTTTACTATTCTTATCCTTGTCTATACCCAAACTGCCCCCTTCCTCTATGACAGCTGCTTTGCACTAGGTACAGAGCAGTATGCATTTCCAAGCCACATCTTATGATCTGAGATCTTTGCAGTAAAGACCACTGCACTGCAGCACCTTCCACTACATCCTCTCAAAAAGTTGTGATACTATGTGGTAGAACAGGGGGAGTGAGGGGAAGCGTCCGACAGCAAGCAAAGCAAAGAACTACTCCCTAAACCCAGGCCTTTAATTCCTGTGCAGATAATATATGGGAATTTTTGCCAACACAAGGCAGTTTCTTGTATTAAACCAAGAATTGTGTGTAATACTTGTATCATAGCAGTCATTGAAAAACATCCACCCAGAGTCTGTCTGCTCTCTGTGCTAGAGAGGTTCACATCTAATGATGAGCAACTCCATCTGCTGGTGACCATGAAAGATTTTCTTACACTGTCATCCTCTAACACGCTTTTTTGTGGCTCTGTGCTGCTGGTTAATCTTTTAACGTGATGGCTATTCTACTGATGCATTTTTCCCAGGCCTGCCTCACCTCTATCAGAATTTTCTGTAAATATAAAAAGAAGAAATCAGCTTTGCATCTCTCACTCAGAACAAAGGAAAATCTTGCTGACCCGTATGACCCAACCTGCAGAGCTGTAGATTTCATTTAACACTATGGCCAAGGTGTAAAATGCCCTGCTTGTGTTTGACAACAACTTGTTAATTACAGCATGACAACTCCCCTTACCATGTAAAACCCTGGGCAGCGGGTGCCGAGATGAAAACTGCAGGGGAGAATCTCAGAGAAAGTGTTGAGGTTTTCTTTAGTTTTATTTCTAATTATTCCTTACACTGGGGATGGAGGATTGTCTGCCTACGGAGTAGAAACCAACCTCCTCTTACCAGCATAATCTAAGAATTATGTGGATTCCCTGGGAAATGCATGCACACATGGGTATTGAATCATCTAGATCTGATAGGGATGTCTGCTCATTCAAAGTTTTAAACCAGCAATACAAATCACAGCTGCTTTAGAAGACTCGCTGGCTGTGAAAGAAACTGTCACTTTTTGGATGAGCGTCCAGAACACTTAACCTATTGCGCGTTTCTGGAACATACAATAAACACTTGCTCTCCAAATGTGATATTAGTAAAGCTTTGGGCAGTTTCAGAACAGCTTTAACAGAACATTTCATACCTCAGATCTTCAGTTGCTCGAAGGAGCTGCAAGCAATTGTTTAAGCTACAGTCCAGCTCAACAGCTGCTTAAAATTCCCACTATGCATCAAATAATAAGAAGCCTTAGTCTTGCCTACCGTCAGGATGATTATTTGCTACAGCTGAAGAATCAGGCACATCAGTTGGTTCACAGTTACAAAGAGACCATTTGGATCTAGCAGGCATGTCTTTGCACTTCTATTTTCTTTTCTACCACTCAAAGGTGGCTAGATCTTCTTCCTCTTCCTCCTTGTCATTAGCACAGCTCTCCGTCTGTGGTTGTGTGAACAGCTAGAAAGAAACACCTGTGTGCTGGCAGCCAGCTGCCAGAATAGCTGTCACATGTCCATTAAAGTTTTCACATATCTTGATTTCTCCGGGGATGCAACAGGGCTTGCAGGACCTGATGGCCTCAGAAATCCATTCAGGACTGAAGCAGTGTCTGATGACTACCCCAAGCTGCCCATCAGATACTAAAGCCATCATTTTTCTTACTGCTGGAATCCAGAGCTCATTGTTCCTTCTCTATCAGTTGCTGGGCAGCACACCTCATACTCCATTCAAAGAAGAGCAAATGTGTACATTAAACATACATGCAAAATCTGTTGAAGCACCACTATTCATTTCCACTGTTAATGAATTTTAAAGGCTGAGCCTACTTTTCTGTCGGGCCTCACAAATACAAGTGATGGCTCAGGGGAATTAGACCCTCTTCAGCTGCACTTTTATTTAAATTTCAGTTCCAAGAGCCCTTTCCCTCCTGCACAGATTTCCACCAGGAAATCAATCTTCAGGAACAGAAGTAGTTACAAACTTCATTTTTATCCACAAAAAACATCAGTCATCAGCTGCATGCGTGAACTCCCAGCAATATTAACAGCAGCTACAAGCACTCATGTAGGGGAGAAAACCCCCCCACATTTTCTCTACTCTGTGATTGGTCACAGAAAGCAAATGTAAAACCACAAGAGGGAAGATTGTCCAGTGTTATATTAGCTCTTTATCTCATGGGAACAAAAGATGAGGGAAAGGCCCAGAGAGAGAGAGGGGTCGGGCTGCAGAGGTCTCTCTTGAACATCATCTTTCTAGTTCATTATCTCTGTATTCAACACTAATGATCCTTTTCACCAAGTTAAACAAAACACTAGCACAGGCTTTTGGAGAGCTGCTCTTTCACAAATATTTCATTCCCAAGGGAGATGCATTATAATATTTCTAGCAGACAAACAATGGCAGGGCAGCTGCATATTTGGTGGCTCCAAGCCTCAGATGTCTGGTAACACAGTTACATTTTATCTGAAGGATCAGTTTGTGCAGCAGCAGGAGTTCCAGTTTTATCACATCTGTAATGGCTGAGATGTTACTGGCATTATAAGAGGTAAACCCACCAATTCTAGAATATTAACCCCCTCCTGCTAACGCCCAGCCTGCCTCCATCATGTCTCAGCTAGCTATTCCTCCAATCCCTGGCTGTGACCAGACCCAAGCAAATGGTTCTTGTTAATCAAACTGCTCTTGCTGCTGCATCTGTGCAAACCAGTTCCCTGTTCAGAGCCCATTCAGAATTTCTAGACCTGTAAATGAAGGCCCTATACCCAAGATAAAGCCATAGAAAACCTTGGTTTGAGACTGTTATTAATGGTGCAATGCTTTAATACTGCCCAGAGGCAGTTGTGAGCTAGGGCCATAGATCCCCCGTCCTACCAAGACTCCACCTTTATAAAAGAACCTCTTTCTAGGTCAACAGATTTAAAGAGCAATCTAAATGGGTAGATCTGCACTTCAAATACAGTTGGGGTTTTTTACTGGTGGAGCTAACCTAGTAATGAACATTAGACAAGGGCAGGGTGCTAGTGCAGGAGGGTTGGATGAGTTAATGGCCTTAGAGTGAATGACTGCTCTGTCATTCTTTTTTTTCCCCCACTCCTGCAGCATTCGCAGGCAGACATCAAGCCGGCCCCCACCAGCTGGAGGGAGACCCAAACCACAGCCAAAACCCAAGCCTCAGGTACCACAGTGCAGGGCACTATATGCTTACGATGCTCAGGACACAGATGAACTTAGCTTTAATGCCAATGATGTAATCGATATAATCAAGGAAGGTATGTAAACAGAGTGGGCTTGGGGGGGTTTTGGGGTGGGGGTTCAAAGTATCCTAGGTTCAAAGATGTCTCCATAACCACTATTGGGACTATCCACCCAGCAGCCTGTCAGCTGCACAAGGCCAATCCCCAGTAGTTAACCTGTCACCCCTGGCCTCCCAGTCCAGGCATTGCTTCCCCCCCACCCTCCATTCCACATGTTGCTGCTGCCACTACCAGTCTCTGAGCTCCTCTGCCCTGCAGCTTCAGCTTTTTGCCCCCACCCAGGGGGGTGATGTGAGGCAGCTCACAGAGCCTGTGATAGAGAGGCTGGATAACCCAATGCAGGGTGGGAGCTACAGCTCAGTATGGGGGTGGTGGGTTGCACAGGACACTGGAGCTTCCTGGCATAATGTAGTGGAAGCAAGGGAGGCACATCTACCATGTAACATATCCAATAAGCTTGTTCATGGATTACCAGGAAATCCCCATCATACACCCTCATGCCAGAGTAGTCCTTCCTAATGATGATGCATTAGCATCCCAGTAGGAGTGTTGAATTTAGCTGTCCTATTTAGGAAGCATGCTGCTGTAGTCTTACACTTGCCTCCAGGGTCTATCATAGCTACATCACATCAACTGAAAATAAATCATTTAAGTCCTGCCCTCTGTCCTTCCCATCTACCACAATACCAAGGAAGGATAAAGCCTTTTAGTGAACTTGAAAGATAAATAAAACCAGGCTCTCCAAGCTTGGAGATGCACATAGAAGAGCTGTACCTGTCTTTCTAAAAGCTAAAAACAAGAATGCTGAAGGTGTTATGGCTTGTTCTGTCGCAGATCCCTCTGGCTGGTGGACAGGGCGATTACGAGGGAAGCAAGGATTGTTCCCCAACAACTACGTGACCAAGATATAAGAGAACTGAGGATTTATTAAATACAGGATGGCATGAAGCTATCAGTGACTGAGATGCAGGAGGTTCCCCCCCCATTTTTCTCAGAGGCCTGTAATTCTTAGCAGCATCTTCTCCAGTGGAGTTGTGTACAAGCAGGAAAGAGTCACTCTGTTTACTGTCCATAAGATGAATTGTGCAACTCCATGCCTCAAACTTAAGTGTGGATGTACTGACCAAGAAGTTATTTATTGTATTTAAACCTCTTTCTAATGTAGACTGAACAGAGGTGTGCGCTCAAACCTTGTTTTTCCTGAAATTACAAGGTGCTTTGCAGTCTGGGACCAGGGACTTCAGAAGGGTTGTATAATTAAGTGCCTTTAGTTGAATATCAATAGTTTCTTTCTTATAATTGAAGAGAGCATTATATGCACATTCCTCTGATACCAGTCATTCTGAGGAACACAAAGTATGCTGCTACATGTCAAAGATTTAGGATCATTTTAGGTATCACAGCAATGGTATATTTAAAGTAATTGTGTACAGATGTAATAGAGCTCATTTACTATTTGCCAGTAATGTCTAGGGACTCCAAGAAAAGGCACTGCAAAAGAGAAGAAAAAAAGAGCAGTACTGTACACTAAACAACGTTGCCTTGATTTATATTAGAATATGGCTGGCCCATGTTGGATTTGTTTAATGCTGTACCTGTTACAGGAAGCATCTCTTTACCTTGAGCTGTACATTTGTAGAAGCGGATCATATACTGTATATAAAAAAATTCTAATATTGTAGAAATATATATGAATGTATAACGTAGTATTTCACTGTACTTAACCATAAAGTAGATTGACTAGAAGTTTTGTGCCAGGTACTTACAAATAAAATATGCACTACTCATGTTCAGTGATTAAAAAAAAAAAAAAAAAAAAAAAAAAAA